AAAAAAAAAAAAAAGAAAAGAACACTGTACTTTTTTGAAGGATAAGAGCAAGTGAATTGGTTTAAGATAATGGCATTACATTCTTCTGAAGCATAATTTTCATCTGTATCAATGTAAAATACTGCATTAACATTTAAAGCGTAAAAGATACATTTAATGGTATTCAAATACATGCAGTCTGGAGCAAACAAAGCAAGCTAGACAAGACCTGAAGGGCTGCAATCAGCACTGATCAAAGTCTCCCTGTGGTTTCTCTCACCCTTGCAGCTTGTAATTTCTCCCTCATGCGTTCCCTCATGGAAAATTCTGCAAAGCCTGTTCTGGAAGCTGAAGGAATTGGAGGTAAGCCTAAAAAAGCAGACAAATTATTTCAAAACAACATTTTTAAAAAAGGGATGTTTAAATGAAAAACACAAAGAGGATGTAATTTCATTTTGCCAATTTCGAACTTCACATGAGCAAATATGAAATCATGCAGACAACCTTCCTTTTTATATCATAAGGACATATCTTGGCTTCTTTAAGAATGACAGCAAACCCTTGGTCCAGCTGGCTCTGTCATGTTGACTTAATGTAGAATAAAACCAATGACATTTGACTGTTCAAGGCACAAAAACACTTACCGAGTCAGTGATCACTGGGAAGAGGCTCTCAGATTTGTTGATTTCAGAAATAGGCTTGTTAGGATGGCTAATGAGTTTGGAGTTTTAGGGTTCAACTCTTAACAGTACTGAAAACTTCATCAGAGAAACATTCTACACCTTTGTGCTAACATGCTGTTGTTAGCAGCCCTCAAGTGGGATCTGACCCATGGGGACCCCAGGAACAGCAGAACTAAATGTTACCCAGTCCTGCACCATCTTTACAATCATTGTTATGTTTGAGTCTATTTTTGTGGCTACTGTGTATTTTGAGTGCTGTCCAACATAGGAGATTCATCTTCTAGCACTGTTGTTGGTATTGTTAGGTGCTGTCAAGTTAGTTCTGACTCATATTGATCTTATGCACAAGGAAACAACACCGTCCTGCCCTGCCCATCCTCACAATTGTTGAGACCATCATTGCAGCCTCTGTGTCAGTCCATCTCATTGAGGGCCTTCCCTTTCTTTTCTGACTCTCCACTGTACCATGTGTGATACCTTCTCCAGGGACTGGTCCCTCCTGGTAACATGTCCAAAGTACAAGAGACAAAGTCTGACCATTCTTGCTTCTGAGGAGCATTCCCGCTTTACTTCCTCCAAAGCCTCACATTTTTGTTCTTCTAGCAATTCATGGTATTTTCAATATTCTTTGCCAACACCACAACTCAAACGCATCAATACTTCTGTAGTCTTCTTTATTCATTGTCCAGTTTTCACATGCATATGAGGCTACTGAAAATACTGTAGCTTGGGTCAGGTGCACCTGCCTTCAAAGTGACATCTTTGCTCTTCAACATTTTAGAGAGGTCTTTTGCAGCATATTTGCCAAGTGCAATATGTCATCTGATTTCTTGATTGCTACTTCCATGGGCGTTGATTGTGGATCCAAGCAAAATGAAATCCCTGACAACTTCATTCTTTTCTCATTTCTCATGATGTTGCTTATCGGTCCAGTTGTGAAGAATTTGGTTTAATTTATATTGAGGTGTAATCCATACTAAAGGCTGTAGTCTTTGATCTTCATCAGTAAGTGCTTTAAGCCATCTTCACTTTCAGCAAGCAAAGTTGTATTATCTGCGTATCATAAGTTGTTAATAAATCTTCCTCCAATCTTGATGCCATATTCTTTTTCATACAGTTCAGCTTCTCAGATCATTTCTCAGCATACAGATTGAATATATATGGTGAAACGATACAATTATAGTGCACAGTTTTCCTGGTTTAAACCATTCAGTATCCCCTTGCTCTGTTCAAACAACTGTCTCTTGGTCTATGTACAGGTTGCTCATGAGAACAATTAAGAGTTCTGGAATTCCCGTTCTTGGCAATGTTATCCATAATGTGTTATGACCCAAACAGTTCAATGACTTTGCATAATCAATAAAACATTAGTAATCATTTTTCTGGTATTCCCACCTGATATACTCTCTTTCTGTTATACTCTCACCTCTGGTAACCATCAAAGAATATTTATTTTTATGTGAAAACTGTTTCTTGACTTTTTTTGATTTTGCTAAAAGATTGCAGCTGTAGACCGGAAAAAAAATTTTTGACATGACATATCAGGCAAGGCATTAATCGCTAAAATTTATAGAAAACTTCAACACCTTAACAAAAAGAGAAATAATCCAATTAAAAATGTGCAGAGGACATGAACATTTCACCAAAGAAGATATTCAGGCAGCCAACAAACATGTGAAGAAATGCTTGCAATCATTAGCCATTAGAGAGATGCAAATCAAAACAATGCAATATCATCTCCTTCCAGCATTAAAAGCAAAGTTTAATAAGACAGAAAACTACAAATGCTGATAGGGTGTGGAAAGACTGAAACTCTTACACACTGCTGGTAAGATTGTAAAATGGTGTGTTTTGGTTACCCAGTGTTGCTCTGACAGGAATATACCACAGATGGGATGGTTAATGAACAGTTTATTCTCTCACAATTATGGAGGCTAGAAGTCCAAGTTTAAAGTGCCAGGCTCTAGGAGCTAGGTGAAAGCCCCTTGACTTTGGGCTTCAGCTCTGCCTCCAGCTTCCAGCCCACCAAAGCTGGAGACTCTTTTCACTCAGGCAGCTGCTGGCTGCTGAGACCAACAAACTCGATGTTGGTAAGTAAAAGGCACAGTTCCAATATTACCAAACCTCATGGAGGCTATTGATTCAAGTCCAGAGACAGTCCCAAGATTGGCAGGAAACACGGTAGGCTGCTAACTGAAGACTCGGCTACATGCAGGGTCCAAGCATGCCATAAAACTATAGACCATTCCCAAAGATTCTCCTTGTATACTGGAAGGAGACCATATCCCTAAGGCAGCTACTTAGCTGCTCATGGCAGATTCCACTATGGAGTTGATTGCCAGTCTTGTCATGGGGAACAACTACAACCAGGTGCCCAGACACTCAAAACCAGACCCAGCTAAGTTGACATAAGCCAGTGTGGAAACAATATGGCATTTCCTTAAAAAGCTAGAAATAGAAATACCATGTGATCCAGGAACCCCACTAGTAGGTATATATCCTACAGAAATAAGAGCCACGACTCAAACAGATACCCATGTTCACCACAGTACTATACAAAAATAGCAAAAAAGATGAAGCAAACTAAATGCCAGTCAAGGGAGGAATGGACAAACAAACTATGATACATACAATGGAATACTATGCAATGTTAAAGAACAACAATAAATCTGTGAGACATCTCATAGCATGGATGAACCTAGAAGATATTATGCTGAGTGAAATTAGTCAATCACAAAAGGACAAATATTGTGTAAGGCCATTAGTTTAAGAAGCACAGCCTTGGAAAACTTAGGGCACACTTCTCTTTGTTCCATAGTGTCGCACCAAGTCAGAATCAACTCGGTAGCATTGGGTGTTTTTTGGTTTTGACATATAAACATCACAGACTATTGGGCAGCATTATGCGTTGGACACTGTGCTACATGTGTCAAAGCATCTTCTCATCAGTCTGTACTCAGGCATAATCATCACCATGTGTCTTGAAGATGGAGATTTTGAGGCCCTGCATGACAAGTGGCCAGTTCTATGAAGACACACCAGCAGGTGGCATGCTTGGGGTTTGGTCCTGTTCTAGTCTCCAATGTTGTAAACCATTATGGAAGAGGTGGAAATAGACATGGAGCATTTAGGGAGCAGAGAGTCTCCCCTGGGACAAGGTGGAGGACAAGACTGCAGAAGGAGTCTGGGTTGCATTATAGGGAGCCTTGGATATGACACTAAGGAGGGCAGGCTATATTCTCCCAGCAGTGGGGAGTCTTGAAGACTGTGTGGAGGAAGAAGTGATTGTCAGCATCATTTTCAGAAGTGTGCAGCTTCTGGTGAGAATAATGGAGAAAGGGTACAAGAAGAAAAATTACAATGGGACCTTGTGAACCATTAGTAATTGTTGTGGGTTGAATTGTACTGTTCAAGACTTAACCCCAGGACCTGTAAACATGACCTTATTTGGAAACTGGGTCTGTGCAGCTGTAATCAAGTTAAGATAAGGTCATACTGGATTATGGTGGGCCCCAATGACTTGTGTCCTTATAAGAAGGAGATTTGCACACAGAGATAGACTTGGGAAAATTTGATGTGAAGCCCGAGGCAAAGATGGCAGTGATGCATTTTCAGCCAATGATTGCCAGCAACCCCCTGAAGCTGGGAGACAGGTGTGGGACAGATTCTTCCTCATAACCACTTGAAGGAACCAAACCTGCTGATACCTGAATTTCAGACTTCTACCCTCTAGAACTGTGAAAGAATACATTTCAATTGTCTCAAGCCACCAAGTTTGTGGTACCTTGTTACTGCATGCCTGGGAAACTAACACAGTAGATACAGAGCAGTGACTTTCACCAACAGTAACAGCATCTTCTGGGAACTTGTTAAACATGAAGATTCTTGGGTCCACCCGAGACCAATTGAACCAGAAACTCTGGAGGTGGAGCCCAGAATCCTAGGTGATTTTAATGGACACTCACATTTGAGAATCCCTGCTACAGAAGGTGAAGAAGAAGAAGGTAAAGGTGTCTTAGGTTTTGGTTGATGTGACCAGGAGTTTGATGCTCCTAAGAGAGAAGTAGGGGAAGGCAGACTGGGAAGTTGTTGTTGTTTTTGTTGTTAACTGTTCGCCCAGACTCATGGTGACCTCATGCACAATGGAACAAACTTCTGCCCAGTCCTGGGCCCATCTCCATGATCAGCTGCTGATTGGACCATTGTGATCCACAAGGTTTTCATTGGCTGATTTTGAAGATAGATCACCAGGTCTTTCTTCCTTGTCCATCTTTGTCTAAAAGCTCCACTGAAATCTGTTCAGTGTCATAGCAACACACAAGCCTCCACCAACAGCCACCAACATGAGCTGCTCATGAGGTATATTGGCTGGGACTTGAACCTGAGTCTTTCCCATGGAAAGCGGCCATTCTACCAGTGGACCACCTTTTGCCTTTAGCCTGGGATGTTCTGGAGTGAATTTGCTTCAGACAGGATGAGTCTAAGGTGCTGGTAGGAGACTGAGATGTGTGCTTGCCAATAAGACTGAGCTCTGCGAGGGGGCTAGGTCTGGAGACATTGGAAGCAGTTCTGCTCTGGTGAGTGCTGAAGTCGTGAGGAAGTATGTGTTTCTTGAGGGAGAGAATGCTCAAGGAGGAGGCTCCTGATCCTTATAGGCAACAGCATGGGGAAGTGAGGAAGGCTAGC